AGTTCAATAGTCACTTTCTTCTGTGTCCTGCATGTCCACTCAACTTAGCACATTGTCAGCAGTCAAAGGCAAGAGCAGTTTCTTTCCCCAGTGACTAACCTTACCACAATGAAAACAAACTCCATAAGGAGTTGCTTCAGTGTCCATCATCTTCTCTGAAGTAAATTGGTACTGCCAGGAGCAGATGTGTCTCATTGTCACGAAAAACTTTAAGTTAACAAAACATTTTTTTTTTCTTTTTTTCTTTTTAGTTTTTCGAGACAGGGTTTCTCTGTGTAGCTTTGCGCCTTTCCTGGAACTCACTGTGGAGACCAGGCTGGCCTCGAACTCACGGAGATCCGCCTGCCTCTGCCTCCCGAGTGCTGGGATTAAAGGCGTGCGCCACCACCGCCCTAGTTAACAAAACATTTTAAATGCCATATTCTATAGGTCTTTGAAGTATTTGAAGACCATCTCTCTAAAATATATCTATTGTAATGAATTCTCCCCAGGCACCTGCCATGAGGAGATTTCTATCAGGTCCAGAACAGAAGCTACAAGTAGCTAAGGATTCTAATCTGAGGGATATAAAATAAATCTAAGCACACTGAGTTCTTTAGTCCATTCATTTTATTCTTCTAAGTAAATTCTGTCTACACAGTTTCTTTTCTGTTCTCTTACTTAGCTCTTCTCAGTCCCTCCTACTCTCAGTCCCTTATGCTGTTCTCTCATGTCTGTCTAGTTCTTTCCATCTCCGTCCTCATCTTGCTCTTCTCAATCAATTCCCCCAGTGCTGTGCGGGAACCAGTATGTATACCCAAGCAGTAATTCTTTGGCAAAGTAATTCAAAGCTTGAAGTTCTCAGGGTCTCAGAGAGAGGTGATAAGGATCCACACATAAAGCAATAATTGTCAGCTTCCAATTATAAACCAAAAGGGGAGTGACTAAAGGGGAGTTCTCTGGTAGAATCATCTAAAGGCTAAGATCAGTTAGGGGATTCTAAAAAGTTTTGTGTAAATAACCCAGGGTGAAGGTAAGGAGTTGAGGATTTAATTGCCAGTGGTTATTTTCTCTACCTGTGGGTGAGATGAGCTAATGTTTATCTATCTGCATTTGTCCTTGGAAAAAGGTATCTTTGCTGAAATACTTTTGTCTGGAGAATGGCCCTGGCCAGATTTATGTAAAATAAGCACAGCTGGGGACAGTTATGCAATTACCCCAATGTATAGGGAAAGTTGTGCCCAAGATTGAGCTGCAATCGTGAGATCACATGTACACATAACATGGAGATGCACGGTAAATGGGGAGAATCATGACTGTTATTGCACAAGAAGTTTACAACTAGAGACAGCCACTTCATTCAAAAGGCAGTAATTCCATAACACCTTGCATGATGGTTTCCTCTAAAAGAACCCTTAGTTCTGATAGGTTGACCTTCTGAACTCTAGTTGTCACCTGCTGTATACTCCATGAACTTTTGATACCAGCAGCTCTCAATACTATTTAACCTAGAAAACATACCTAACATATCTATAAATTTGATTGTTATGAATGACTATAACTACTGACCTATGTTTTTTTATCATCTTGTATTTTATAATTTGCTTTCAAAAACTAGAATTCTACCTTACACTCCAAATGAACTGCATAGATACAATACCTCAAACAAAAATGGAAACATAACATACAATATGTTGTAACAAAAATAACTGTAATTTTTTATCAATATACAAAAATCCTTTAAACAAGAGTAGAGACATATATATAGTGTAATAAAGTAACTTTAAATTTGTATCAATATTCTATATTCTCCTAAATGATAACAAACATCCATAACCCTCCAAATAAACAAAACCACCCATACCCCACAACTCTTGGGAATGTGGGTGTAGGTTTCTCCATACTTCTTCCTGCTGTCTGTGGATGAAGTATCTTTAGGGTCCTAGAGAGAAAATTTTTAAATAATGACCTAGTCCTGGGAAGACCAGCAGTAACCTTTGCTGATAGATATCACCTGTCAAGTCTCAGGAGCTCTCGCCTGATCAAACCTGATCCATATTAACCCGAAGGAATCCACAGCCTCTCCTGTGGGAACAAAACTCCAAAGCATTTTTGATTTACATTTGACAAATATATTTTTTGACTTTTTAAAATTTAAGGTATTCTTAAAATACCTAGGTTGGATTATTTCAGCAGCCCTTTCAATCCCATGTCCTAGCAGCTGTCTTTTGATCTTCAGCATCAAAAAAATTGAAAATCAACACAATACTATACAGGATCCAGACTACCTGTGTGTTTCCCATCCTACATGGCCTCTTTCTTTTGCTCTCTCTTTGAAGACATTATTTTACAAACTATTCATTTTTATGACTGTACCCTTTTCCTTTCCTTAAGCCTGTGCACATTTTTAAACACACTGTAACCTGTTTAGAGGTTTTTCTGTCTGGACCTCTTTTATTGTGTCTCTTCTGCCTTTTTGACTGAATGAGTAAAACTTTAAACTGCTAACCTACACTGGATTCTCCATGAACAGCTCTCAGCTGGCTCTACTCACTTCTCGGGTTGTGAAAACCAAGCATGAGGCCAGCTGGAGATTTGTCTGACCAGGAACTGCATTCAACCTTCCTAGAGCTCTAGAATACCGATGCGTGTACTATGGCAGGCGTTTTTACTTACTTTTTTGTTCCTACTTATAGTGTACTAGCTGTTCAAGGGTGGCAGAAACTGTTCAGCCGAAACTTTTAAAGGAGCCGTACCCTGTTTTGTTGTTGTTGTTGAGCTTTCTCAGGCACTGGATGGATATTCAAGCCCCAAGTTGGTATACCAAAATGTTGTATTTTGTTTTTAATCTTTATTCTTTGGGGGGCCCTCTACCCAGCTCCCAAATAAATCACACATGAAGGCTCAGTCTTAGTTATGAATGCCCGGCCTTAGCTTGGCTTAGTTTCTAGCCAGCTTTCCTTAACTTAACTTACTCCATCTACCTTTTGCCTCTGGGCTTTTCCTATTCCCTTACTTCTGTAAATCTCACTCTTACTCTGTGGTTTGCTGTGTAGCTGGGTGGCTGGCCCCTGGAGTTCTCCTCCTTCTCTAGTTCCTTCTTTCTTTCCTCTCTCATATTTCTTCTTCTATATATACACTCTGCCTGCCAGCCCCGCCTATCCTTTCTCCTGGCCATTCAGATCTTTATTAGACCATCAGGTGTTTTAGACAGGCACAGTAACACAGCTTCACAGAATTAAACAAATGCAACATAAACAAAAGTAACGCACCTTAAAATAATATTCTGCAATAAGCAATTTAATTCATAAATATGTAGCTATATGATTCAAAAAAAGATAGGATACTAGCATTTGAATGAAAGTATGTCACTATATCTGTTTACATGTTAATACTATTTCTGCAGCAACTTCATTCCCTGGAATTTGACAACTCAGAGAAAATAATAAAATTCCGTAAGACACAAAGTTTACTTAAGTAGAAGTAAATTCAGTAGCTGCATGTCTATTAAGGATATCCAGATTGAAACCTCACAAAGAAAACTGTAAGACCAGACGATGTCACTGATGAATTCTGCAGATACTTAAGGAAGAAGTAATACCAGTTCTATACTAAATTTTCTAGAAAATCACAGAGATGGAAATGCTTTTGAATATCTTCTGTGAAGCCAGCTTTCTTCCAGGACCCAAACCAAAGACATTGAAAGAACAGATCAGGACTGAGCAGTGTCTGAGAACAGAACAGGACTGAGCCCTAGCATGCATGATGAAATTCATAACAGAACCATAGCATTTATATCCAACAACACATAAGAAAGACAGTGTATCACACTCAGGTGTGGTTTGTACCAGGAATTTGAAAATGGGTGCAGTTTACATTAATATTTGTAAATGATGCCATTCCTGTGAAGTTATAGAAAGTAAATCTGATTAGGAATTTCCCAGCAACAGAGGATAAGAGGTTGGGGTGAGTTAGAAACAGGAGTGATTACACAAGGCAGGAGGCAGCTTTTGCTGGTGATAAGTTTGTGTTTTACCCCAGCTGTGGTGTCCATCCATGAGTGCATGAGGGTGTGGAGCTCCAGAATAGACATCCACCCATCAGTGCATGAGGGTGTGGAGCTCCAGAATAGACATCCGCCCATCAGTGCATGAGGGTGTGGAGCTCCAGAATAGACATCCGCCCGTCAGTGCATGAGGGTGTGGAGCTCCAGAGTGACATCCACTCGTCAGTGCATGAGGGTGTGGAGCTCCAGAGTGACATCCTCCCGTCAGTGCATGAGGGTGTGGAGCACCAGAGTGACATCCGTCCATCAGTGCATGAGTGTGTGGAGCTCCAGAGTAGGTGTGTGTCCATCAGTGCATGAGGGTGTGGAGCTCCAGAGTAGGTGTGTGTCCATCAGTGCATGAG